TAACAAGTTTCACAAAGTATTTATTAATGGAAAAATGTTACAATGGTTGAACTGGGTGATGAATCCTTGCGGGTGCATTATAAATACTATTCTCTCTACTTTTGGGGGTGTATTTGGAAATTCCTATAATAAAATGTATGTTTAAAAAAATCGGTGTATATGGATTTTACAGCAGAGTTTGGGGGTTAATATTTCATACACTTGATTTCCATTACTTAGTGATGGACTTTTTCATATTAGTAAAATACATTACACTATTTCTGACAATACTGAATTGGATTTAATTTTTTCTATATTTTCTGCATTTGAAAAAGCTCTTATTAAGCAGTAAACAGAGATAGAAATTTGTAGATAGAAGACTTGCTAGGGAGGGGCCTCAGAAGGTAGAAAGCCTTGGTATGAGATCTGGTAGAACAAATATTTGGAAATTAAAATTGGAAACAAAGGTGGAGTAGGTGAAAGAGGCTGTTGGACAGGTTTGTGCGCTGAACAAATGCTTATTTTGTATCACATTGCCACAGGCTCAGTGAATTAATGCACACACTAATATTTGAACTTTCTCAGTGTTCTCATTTAACAGGTACTGACGGTTCTTCTGTGAGTGGAAAATCAAAGCAGCCCATGGGACATCCTTTCTTTGGGTGGGGGGGCCATAAGGGCATGAAAAGAGACTGTCCCTGTCATGAAAACTTATTTGAATACCATAAAATGCAAATATTCAATAACAGTAAAAAAATGCAACTGAGAGTAAAAAAATAATGGGCAACATTTAACTCAGTGCAAAGTGTCACTTTAGAGTTTCTCTGTATTTTCTTTGCAAGGCAACAAAAATAATGTACTGCTCTGTTTTTCCTCACCCACCACCTCATCAACTAGTATCAGAGAGAACAGGGCGCTAGTCATGTGCTTTTGATCACAAGAGGGATATTAGCAGTTGAAATAGTTGACAGAAGAAGGTGACTTATTATACAACCTTGATACAGCCCAAGAAACCAAAATGGGATTTTTGTAGAATATTTTGATAAAATTAAACTTGGAAATACGTATGATCCACATAAGGGGGTTAATGTAAGGAAGGCTTAAAATGTTGTTCATCATTTAAACATGAATTCCAAACTATTTTTACTTAACATGGTATTGTTAAACAGGTAATAGTATACTGGACACATACTTTCTATCACATTTCCTAAATGAGGGTACTTCATATTTCATCAAAAATGTGCATGTTAACAGATGTAGTTTAGCCTTTGTCGAAAGACATGCAAGTATTTAGTATTTACATTAAATGGATTGCCTCAGAAATGCTGAATCCATGATATGCTCCCTTAAAAAGTAAAAAATATTTATTTGTAAGGTTAACTACAGTATCGGTATCTTCTGATATTTTAGATAGGATTAGTATTTTGGGACCTCTATTGGTTTTCACACTATCATGCAAATTCTGGCTTGCTTTAGCACAATAGTCCAATTTCCACTGGCTATAGAATAGCGTAGGTATACACATTTTAATTGCTCTTTTTGAAAATATCACCAGGCAGTGCAGAATACCTTTTATTGATAATATCGTGACAGTCAAGGACCTTAATATCAGCCAATGATAACAATATGGAATAGGGCAGAATTGAATAATGGAATGTATGAGATTGTCGTTTTCATTCAATCTTGAACAACTGGAAAATGTTTTCTACTCAAGCTATATATTTTAGATAAGCACAGTTAGATATAGATATCACTAATGCAGAAAAAAACCACTCCTTTTAAGCTCAGAATTCCTTAGGACTAAATGTTAATCAATACACATTTTATATATAATATGTACAGGTTTTGTAACCTAGTGCCACGCAACTAGGGCACACATATCAGTTACCTCGGTTTTCAAATGTTATGTGTCAGCTCTGCATATTATGTGCCAAGGAGATACTATCAACATTATTTTTTGCATAATGTGCAAGTATTATATGGCCACAGAATGTAATACAAATTAGTGGCAAAGTGCTGAGGGAAGGAATCCATGACAGATTCAGATGCACAAGGTTGAATATTACCCGTAAACTACCTGACTCTGCTAAGGTCTTAACAGCACAAAGCGCTATGTCATGCCCATCTTTTAAAAGTCTCTGAAATACATGGACACAGTGAAGTTTGTTCAAGGAATTTTACCATAGTCTCTGGCAACACTGGGGCTGGTATGAGCAATATATGACGTTGGGGGAGCCATGTGGAAGGTTACCCCGACAAACCTCTTGCAAAATGTGCCATCTTCCCTGAAAACAATTTTGTTCACTCCCTCATGACTGTCATTGTTTATACACATGTGCTTTTTCTTTTTTTGGTTTAAAAAGTCATATTAGCAAGATTATGCTGCTTGAGTTAAACGGCCTCAGTGAGAATTTTATTAGTATTGTCATGTTGATTTCTTACACACACTCAGCAACTCATTGAAAATGTTATTTCCAAAGAAGTTAGGAGGTTACTGGGAATGAGAAAATCTTATTTGCAATCCAAATTCTCCTTCTAAATGTTATTAAATCTCTGACACCTTATATGAGGTGTTGTGCTGGTGTAGAAAAAAAAAAAAACAACTACCCTCTGCTCTAGGTTTTCCCTTTAAACTCAGAGAAAAGAAAGACAGGTTGTCTTTCTTTAAGCTTCCTGGCATATTATTCTATTTAATTATTATTTTTAATACACACTATCTACTTTCTATTTCTAAACTCAAATTTCTTTTGCTTAAATGATTTTCTGAACCCTAGTAATAAGCAAGAATATTTAAAAGTTGTTCTCTCATTTAATGAAAAGAATTGAAAACTTTTCCAATATAATTTTAAGTTTACAGCAAACCAGGTGCCTTTGAAGCAGTTCAGCTGTGCTTCAAAAGTAAATAGTAACTTTCAAAGCTGAATTGGGAGTTTTCAGCGATCCCATTTTATTTTCTTAAATTCAGCATTAAAAGCGGTCCAGTTGCCCGCCGATGGGCTCATCAGGGCTCAGGGAAAAGATGGGCAGGAAGAGAGTGGGCCATTTCAGAAGCAAAGGAAAACAGACACCCGCTAACAAGTAGGAAATCTTAAAAAGAACCAGCCTAAGATAAAGTGAATGTGAAAAAAAAAATAACCAAAAACTGCAACACTGGCCCCAATCCTTTTCATGACCATTAGCACACCTCACTTTGTATCTTGGAGTTTACTGAGTTTCATGTTGCAAGAATTTTGAAGTGCGTGTTTCAATTCCAGGCATGTTATTCTTATTTTCTTCACGGAGGTCTTATGACGTACACAACCAAATGAGCTCAGTTATTAAGTTATATTCCATTTACAACTTTAAAAAAATACATTGCTTACTAAGGAGTTTTTAAACAGAAGGTCCATTTTTCCCCCTACTTATGTTACTATTAATGGCCTTTAAAAATATTCATACATCAGCTTAAAAAAAGTGTCACCATGATGGAAGTATTGTGAAGTAAATGCAGATGAATCCATTCTAAGCACCTATATCTGCTAGAGACTGAATTGATGTCTTTGTTGGCGAGTCTTTTGACCATCCTCCTTATCTCTGTTTAATATATTAACCAAAAACAGGTTATCGTCTTCATTGTTAAACTTAAAAAGTGAGCATGTGTTTGTGATTTAAATATACAGTGTTTCAAGTGACTTTTCAATTGCTCTTTTTCAGGTCTGCAAAATATCAAGAAAGTATTAACATGCATCTAACTTAGAGGGCCGTCTTGGACTCTGTAAGTTACTTCACATAAGCAGACAAACCCTACCATGTCATACCATACAAACAATTTTAATTGTGTAGTTACAGTCAATAACCACTCCTAATCAGAACATTTCTGCATAAAGAAAATTGTGATACACTTATAAAAACAGCCAGCTGTAACAAAATAGCTGGTGTTTTCATAGCCATAAACTCATAAAAAAGAAATAACACCTTTATACAGAAATTTTATACAGATGTAGCTTTAAAATTGATTGTAAACCAAAGGAAGACACATTGCAAACATCAATTATTTTCACATTAATTGCATAATTTTCTAAGGTGATCTATTAGTTTTATTTACCTAAGCTTATTTGCATGATAGTAAAAATTGCATACAACAATGAGTGAAGCTTATAGTATGAATTGCTTGGATAACATAGAGCACTTTTTATAGGCAACTGTGTAAAGCACATTTTATCTATTTAAAACTTTTAAGACACTTTGTTTTACTGCCCATCAAAATACATTTATAAATAGAAAAGAATCAGTATGGTAACAAGAGAAGCAATTTTACATTTAACGGAAACTTCCAAAAAATTAATTACAACATGATGCTGCAAGGATCTACAAATAAATAACAAGGACTAAACTGTGTTTCACATTTTCTTTTCATTTTTTAAAAAATCATGTAACAATGAGAATGAAAAAAAAAATTACAGTGAACTTTTATTTCCAAAATAAAAACAAATTTGAATTACGGCAGTGCCATATAATACAAGGCATTTGTTGGCATATGTCATCTTTAAACTGCATTCCACAGTCTATAGTTCTTTTGTAACATACAATAGAGTAACAAACTTTTTTTCTTTTTTTTTTTTAAACGAGGGGCGAGTTTCCAAAGATCAGTGTGAAGTGTTACAGAAATAATTAAAGGAAGGAAATAATAATCACAGAAGTTATAATGCTTGTTTGAGGCTCCAGAATAATAATTAAAAAAAAAAATCACTGGTATCATGCTTACGGGGTACACACCCGGGTGTGTTCCGTGAACACAAATTTTCATTTTTAATACCAAACAATCCGATGCTTCACCTGGGGCTGCCAAGCAGTTTGTAAAAGAGAGCAAAACGCTTAGTGCAGTCTATATCATCCTTTCTCGACTTTCCTGTTTGTGCAAGTTTCTGAAGATTCATTGGCCAAACAATGGACAACAAGGTTTGCTGAGCTAGTACAGGGTGGACCTTCCGTGTCGTTAGTCAATTTCACTGGTGCTGATGGAGGAAAAGAAGACTTTCATCTCAGTCTTTGACGTCGGCGTTAATGTCTGTGTTCCCTTCCACCGCCAGCTCGTCTTCTAGTTTCACCGAGAACAGGGTGTTAGCATTTTTGTCTTGGACACTCTCCTCCAAATCCTTAAGCAACTCCTCTTCCTTGTACTCGGCCACGTCCACCTCCAGGCCCGAGTTGTCCTTCAGCTTGCCGTGATGTTTGAGATAGTACCGCTGGTTCTGAAAGAACTTGATGATGGTGTACTTGGGCAGGTCCAGCTGAGCGGACAGAGTCTGGATGGCCTCCTCGTCCGGGTACAGGCCCACGTCCTGAATGAAACTCTGCAGGATGCCCAGCGCCTCCACCGAGATCTTGGTCCGCGGCCGCGCCTTCTGCCGGCTCTCGTCCTCTGCCTCGGCGGGCGCGGCCACGGTGGGCTGCCGCGGGGGTAGCCGGGGCCCGGCCGGAGGCTGCTGCACCTGCGCCTGCGCGGGGGGCGGCGCCGGCTGCGGCTGTGCCTGCGGCTGCTGCAGAAACGAAACAAGCACAGGGTCAGCGGCGCTCTTGGCCACCGCGCATGCAGGATCTGCCACTGCGCTGCGGCCTCTCCCACTGCGCATGCGGCCTCCCAACGAGCGAGCACGTGGTCAGGGATCCCACATGCACCTGCCTGGACCGGGACGGGGACACGGATCCTGGGTGGAAAGGCAAGCCAGCTAAATGGCCCATAGTACTAGGAAGAAAGTCAAAATGATCACCAGAAAGGGAGGAATTAAGAGGGCTTGGGGGTGCTCCTGGGCTTCCTCATCAGAGGTTAGGCTAGCTCACGGTGGCTGGAACTCGGTGTTCTGAAAATGTGAGCCATAAACTTCACCAGAAGGATACGCATCAGAGGCGTAGACAGCAAAGCAAATTATGATGTCAATAATTGACAAAGATTTTAAATGAAGATTGGGAAGTAAGGATTTCAAAGGCATTTTCGAAAGGTGAGCTGTGGAGACGTGGGGAAGGAAATGAGTGTTTTGTCCCATTTCATTGGATGGGTAAAACGTTGAGCATACGCATACAAAGTCTTAATTTTGTTGCAAATAAAATGGGTAAAGCCTCTGCTCTTCTGCAGCACAGTCCTTGTGAATCCAAAGGGTTTTTGAGATTCTCACGTGTGAATGTCCTACTAGACAGTTTCAATCTAACAGACACACAAATTTCTTACAAAATTGCACTGGGCTGACACTGCAAGTTTTTTCCTTACCAAAAAATAAAGGTTCCATCCATCCCACAACGGCTAGCAAATTGTTCTGTCTATACTAAACTCATATGTGATTAGGTTTTAAATTTAGTGTATACAGACACTTTTTCATAACTAGTATCTGTGCTGTAATTTCCATACACAATCATACATAACGTGTGACACATGCACATAATATATACACTCCATATCCAAGATTCTTATCAGCAAAGCAAATCAACCCGAGGAAGCCCAAAATACTAGAACGTTTGTACTGTGCCCTAGGCATTTCCTTAATCCCCCTAAGAAGCAATTTTATTAGAAACAATTTACATTTTCAAACAAGTACTATTTTTTTTAACTTAACACATATCTTTTTTGTTTTTGTTTTTGCTAAACAGTAAATTTTTCAGGCTTTCACGATTATTTTAGTGCTTGATATCCTAAGGGATTCTCTTTTTCAATTTAACTTTTATAGTCAAAGGTTTTTTTCCCTTAGTGGATGCATAACGCTATTATTGTGTACATATGTGTGTGTGTGTGTATTCCTCCCCTTCCCGCGGCCCCTCCCCCCAATAGCAATACCAAGAAATAATATGCCGGTGATTCAACAAAGAAAGCATAGAATTTTAGGACTCTGGAAGGCAATGGCATTTTCCCTGAAAGGGGAAAGCTAAAAGTGTCCCCTTAGATTTAACACAAATAATTTGTACAGCTCAAGTTCAATTTCAACACACTTCCTAAGCAATGGAGGCCAACAACGACCTGGACCCAGAGCTTCCCAATCTGAATTCACTGGGGATGAATTTAGTGGATCCACTCAGTGGATGAGTGGAGACAGGTCGCGGGATGTGACAAGCTGAGCCCGAGGCTGACTCTGCCGGCACAGTGATCTTCGGTCAATGCCACGGTTAGCATGGCCTTTGCAAGGCTGAGCATCCTGACCAAGAGAGCAGGTCTTGGCACCACCCTCTCTGTGTGTCCCTCTCTTGCTGGCATAGGTTAACTTGTGCCTGGCTCACCTGCGGAGCAGCACCGCGCCACGGTGCAGGGGTTGGCAGGCCTGGCAAGAAAACGCCTCTAGACTCTCCTTTCCCAGGGGTCCTGGGAGAGGGCCTCTAAAGGAATGACAAACAAACGTGACTCACCCCTAACCTGTGCTCCCTAAGGCTGTGAGGATAGAGCTACAAAGTGAAGGCAGGGCCAGGGAGTCAGAAGCCAGAAGCCAATTTAGTTTCCCTCCCCTCCTCTCTTTTGGACAGAATCCAAGGTATACAGTTGTGATCCAATTAACTTCCTGTATAGAAACAGTAGTCATGCCTTTCCTCGGGGACAGTATTGGTACTCATTAAAAAAGAGGTGGCGTTCTAAAAATTCTGATTTTTCAAAAGCGACAACAAAATTCTTAAGCTCTCACACAACAAAACAACCCAATTCTAACAAAGACAGACTTGCCAAATAAGTGTAGAAGGGGGTTCCACCACTTTGGGGGAGGGGAGATGAGAGGAGAGGAACACAATACACATGTTGGAAAACGTGTGTTCATTTCCCTTTTCTCCCCCTGAGTGAGATGGCAGTGTATTGTTATTTCCTGTTCAGAAGCCTATGTTTAGACTGGCGGAAAGAAGAGAAATGCTCATTTCCCTGCTAAGTTTAAACCGCTATTTACCGAGTGTTATATTGAATTGGCCAAGGTAAACGAACCTGAATCTGCTCTGCGGGCACGTGGATGATGTGCGGCGGCCGGTCGCCATGGTGATGCACCGCGTTGCTCTCCTGTTCATAAATGGCATCACGTTCAGGCTGAGGGAGACTGAGGAACCTTCGGATCATGGAGAGGTTCTCCCACAGGGTCCTGTTTTCTGGAGAAGGATCTTCTTTCCAGCGTAATAGCTCACACAGCCACCCCTTAGAGACAAGGGCATAACAGGTCAGTTCAGGCTGATGGCAGGGGGAGGTGAAGGGGGGGTCGGCTGACATTTTCCATTAGGAGCTAAAAAGGAAGGACCCTGTGAAGTTAACTTTTTTCACAAGCTAAAAACACTCCAGGACTTCCCCTGGTGGCGCAGTGGTTAAGAATCCGCCTGCCAATGCAGGGGACACGGGTTAGAGCCCCGGAAGATCTCACATGCCGCGGAGCAACTAAGCCCGTGCGCCACGACTACTGAAGCCCGCGCACCTAGAGCCCATGCTCCACAAGAGAAGCCACCGTAATGAGAAGCCCGAGCACCGCAACGAAGAGTACCCCGCTCGCCGCAACTAGAGAAAGCCCACGTGCAGCAACGAAGACCCAACGCAAATTAAAATAAATAATTAATAAAAATAAAATAGAATACAAACACCCCAATCTGTTAAAAAATTTTTTTTCTAATCTGTTAAGAGAGAATAGCTGGGGCTATTGCGGAAGCGGGCTCTGTTTCTAATACACGTTCAGATTTGCATCTTAAAGGAGGGTCCTATTTTTCAGACTCCAAGGGCAAGACCCATTTACCATGGAGTCTGCAGAATGTGTCAGAGGAGAAAAGCAAGGCTGAGTGTGCTTCCTGTCTGATGAGTGGCCGTCTGAGGTTCTGAAGGTATTTAAGAAGGGCTAGGACAGGCTTTTAGAATAATTTTGTTTTCTAAAAGGATTCCCTAAGTTTATAATTTTTGTATTAGAAAGGCAACTCTGTGTGAACATGTGTGTGTGTGAGTGTGTAGGAAAGGGAGAGAAAGGACGTGTGCAGTTATGTGAGAAAGAATGTCGTCCAAGGTAAGGCACTGTATTTAGAAATGAGCATTAGAAGAATTCTTCAAGATGGAACTTTCCAGAAAGACACCTCGGAGTCCTGCCTGCTGCTATGTACACACATGGTTCATAAAGTGAGCATTTTAATAGAATTCCTGGGCTAAGAGACAAGGAAATGTCCAACGAATGCCAAAACCTGAACCTCTCTGATGCCTCCTAAGGCCGAGTTTCTGATCCTCAGATTCTCAAGAACCGAGTGGTCCAACAGAGTACGCTGTCTCACATTCTCATGTCTCACATTCTCTAATCATCATCTCAAACCTTCTTTATCTTGGCCGCCATGATGGACACTAAGCAATGGGGTGGACAGGAAGAGGGAAGAGGTCCCAACCACACCCCCTTCACCAGCCAAGGCGACCAGCCCCAGCTGCCGTGCTGCCTGTTGTCGGCCTACAACCATACCCTTTTCTGGACAAATGTCTTGGAGCCATCGCACCTGGAGGTGCCCGGATGCTTACTCCACCCCTCACTAGCCCCTTCACCCTGGGGTGGCCAGTGACTGGCTGACCCACCCTCTTGCCCCACAGTGATGACTCACTCTACCCTTTAGAGATGGCCAGAGATGGCCCTCCCCAACCTTCTTATTGACTTTCCCCATCAATACGGACTTTACCTGAGACCACATTCATTCCTGACCCCTTCCACTTTCTTGTCCTCCTGAATGCCTGCCGGGTCCCTCACCAAATCATGAGCCCCTGATTCCTTATCTTAGCCTCTGTTTTAGGGAACTCGACCTAAGACAAAGGGGCTTCTTGGAAATTCTAAGTAAATTAGTTGGATGGGAATGGAAAGAGTACAGTTTAGTATCTGATTTTTAGAACTGGCCAAAGGGAGTTGCTTTTTTGTTGTTGTTACTTCTGGGTGACATCAGAAAATGGTGTGACTTTCCTTTCCTTCTCAAACTGAACCACTGGAGAAATTCTCTTCTAACTGTAATATACAGTGGGAAGAAGCAAGGCCTATTCTCCCTGAACTGGCCTATTTGAAACATTTTAAAAGGAAAGATGGAGACTGATAACACTAGCTTCCCAAGGCACACCTACCACCCAGTCAAGGGTGACAGCTGCTAAACCTCATGACATCTACTAGCCTTAACCCTAACTAAGAGGCCTTTGATTCTCCACTCAACACGTTGTTTAATTAAACAAATAATTAACCTACAGACGGTTATGTAATCATGCACTCATTTGATGCTACTGAATGCATAATTCCAGGCTAAGAGAACAGACAGTAAACTCAAAAGTAATTGTGATGACAGTGTCACTGAATGTGCTTCTCTTCTAACCGTGGCAGTTCTATGCTTCTTTCTGGAATCATATGGTGACATGTCACATTTTAGCTCTATTTATGTGAATAGAACATTAACTACAAAACTGTATTTGAGTAATTGAAATATTTGAGACCCACTTGCATATGGTGCCCCAGAGATGTTTATTTAGCTCTTACTGACAGATATTTGCTCTCTCGATTAAGCCATGAAAATATTTTATATTTTCCTACATCTAAGCTATTTCTTTACACTTTACCTCTATGTTTTGATGCAGGGCAGGTTTTAGATCTGTCTTCCTGAAGGCTTGAATATTAACTATGGTTAAGATTACCCCCCCACCCTCCCCTGTCTCCATTCTTCAGCTATGGCAATGGACAGGCCCCCATACCTAAACACAGCAAATTGCTACAATTTTATTTACCATTCAAGAGATGTTAGAAGGTTCATCAAGAACAGAACAGTTTTTTTAATTCCTTTACTTAGCTAGAATTATACTACTGCAATAAGTGCTTAACATTGAGCATGTCTTTTTTTTTTCTTTAGCAATAAATGCTTGTAACTAAAAATTGCTAAAAGTTAAATTAAGAATGATTCATGTAAGAAAATCTCAGAGAAAGCTGAAGAACCCCAATAATTTCTCAAATCCTTTTAGAAACTTTGAAAAGTAACAGAGATCAGTTAGCACTTGCATATATGTGAAAAAAAAAAAAAAACAAACATGTGGATCACAGATGTTCTTTGGAAAAGAAAATCATTAGTTCTTTTAAAACGGCTAATAATGATAGTTAATTCCTAAACAATCACACTCATGCTGGTTTCACAAATATTTCAGAAAAAGAGCCCTGACTCATTCAACAAATATTTTGCTCATATTGTCACTTCTTTGTCTCCATACTTATGAGACGGATTCTTATTTTTATTAATTGCGCATGACTAACATAACATTTCCAGTAGTTTGCTATTAACCTCTGCCCTTAAATAATACTTCTAATTCCTTATCTAAAAATAATGTGATGAATTATAAATCTGAAGCATGTCTCCGCTAGCCTTTCAAGAGACGTGATGATTTTAAGAGACTGAAATCAGATGCTTCTTAGAAAAATATTTAACGGTGCATGCAGCTGGGAACTGTTAGTTCTACAAGGGTATTCCAAAAAACAAAAATGGGGGGAGGAGCGGTGTGCTGTGCGTCGCCCTCAACAAATAACGGAAAACAGATATTCTGACAGGCTAGTTCTTTGTCAGCAGAGAAATCAACTGGCTCATTCCCAATTTACACTGGCAAAAAGAAGATCAATTTATTATAATACCATTTAAACATGTCGGAATATTCTGACACCCTCAAATCCTATCGATCGAGACTCTATTAATGATGACAGTAATCTGATCTATGTTTTGCAGAAAGTGACGAAAAAAACCAAATGCTTTCCAATTCCCCAATACCTTTTCCTAGGTCACTTCTCCATAAGCCATATTATTAGGGCAAATAAAGACAATGATATGTCAGAATACTGGTAATACGTAACAAATAAAAATAATGATTTCCCTATGTATTAGATAGGTTTTTTAAATGATACACGCATAGATTTACTGGGTGGAGGAGGTGAATAAGGTGCTGCACTTTGTTGCAAAATGTGAACATAATTACCTTTTAAGCCAGGTCTCTGGGACTTAAAATATCATAAGACCATAGGCGGGGGTAGGGAACTGCACTGACAATTAAAATTAGATCACAACTGTTCTGAACAGTAGAAAAGACAGGAGACTAACAGCCTTAAAATAATGAGAATGATCTATTCTCAGAAAACTAAAATGGCACAAGGAACAACCAAAACTTTAAATGTAGTAAATTTGCCAAGCAACATTACGCTGAATATAAAGAGGGCAAAATATAAACAGTAGTCACATGTAAATAAATAAGTAAGACTTTCAGGATGTTCCTACTTTTCAAACTGAGAAAGTTTAATTTGACACCTTCTGTTCTAAACCCTTTGTTTCTATTCAAAATCACAGCCTTGAGCTGTTGCTATCAATCACAGCACTTCCCCTATTACTTAAAAAAACTGGCATGGACCCTGAACAAGCTGAAAATGCCATGCAGATGAATTCTGAGATAATATGTTCAAACCTGTTATATACAACACAAATCCTGTAAAGTTATGTATTGTAAACCTACATTTATTGAGAACTAAAAGTCTTGAATCCATCTGCCACAAAGGAAATACTGTTATGTACTTTATAGGAACCAAGAACCATCTGTAAATGTCTTGCCACTGTAAGCAAGAAAATGGTAAAGATGTTAAACCTCAGACTGTATGAAATCAGTAACATTCTTTGGACTGGTTTTGGTTAGGGAATTTATGAAAGACATGGAAGATCAGAGGGGGAGAAAAAGGAAAAGAGAAAATGCAGAACGACTGCCAAACCAGTACTGAAAAAAAGCAAAACAAACTCAATGACAACACAATGGCAATTTATCATGGTCCATGAAACACATGACTGTATGCTCATTTTAAAGGAAAAATTAGCAGTTCTAAACTCAATATTCTAATGATGTGCTTTACCGACAGAATCTTGTTGTACCACATTGAAATAAAAATCCTGGCACCTTCATCTCTCAGCTGCTTAATTTCCACCCAAACTCAATCTCTGATTTCCACTCCACTCTTTTTAGAACAGTTAATTCAAGTCAATTTGCTGCTTCTATCGTTTTAACAGATAAGGGGTGCACAGTGATTTTTAACTGAGTCAGGAAAGCAACCTCGTTTCACGAATGAATTTATTGTACCTAGGAAGCCTCACACACATAAAAGGAGAACCCTTACAAGGCCTGGTCTGTGACAGAGCTGG